CATTGTAATAAATAAAGAATATAATAAAAGAAAGTATAAAGCTGTGTGCAATTCCTGGCCACTGTCTAACGTTCCAACTTGCAAACCAAAGTACAGGTAGGAGAACAGTGCAGGTCCTCCTCTCAGCCCGCAGGTTTCTGCAGGTTGCTTTCCAACCAGGTCTACCTTGCCTCCACCGCCAGCTTCACGACGCTAAACTCTTCTGAGAGGGCAAAGCATCATTAGCTCCAACAAAAGTAAAAATAAATGGAGATTTTAACAGGGTTTTGATAACTTCACTTAACACAAACTCCCGTTTAGGAAGACTTCATGGCAATGCAATGTGACTGTTGTAACCACCTAAAATTAAATAAACTGCTACTAAGAGAGAAAGAAGAGAACGTGGTCTTTGATTTACCACAATAGTTTCTTGAGAGAACAGATTACTTATTCTTTTCTTCAAGAACATTTCAAGTCTATGTAGTGTCCATGTCAAAAAGAACTGGAACCAGTTTTGCTCAATTAAGAAGCAGTAAGAAAGGTAACAAGAGAGAAAAATCTGCAGTCTGAAGGTACATTATAGTCTGATAAAGGAGTAGCCAAAACACTGCCTGTTACTTTTGTTTTCCTGGAAGCTGGTTGACATTGTTTCTTAAGAAAGAAAAAAGGAAGGAAAAAAGGGATAGATGGCCAATCTGCCAAAATTAAGAATGCCTGGTGTGGTCAGTTAATTGAAATATTTCTGAGAGAAAGAGCTAGGAAAGTAATATACTATGTTTTTCCTAAAAAGAAAAAAGAAGTCAACTCTCAAATTCAGACGGAGCACCATGTTTATGAAGTACAGAAAATTTTTAAAGGCATGATTTTGCTTAAATATATGAGATGAAAATATATTTTAAAAGGTATTACTAGGAAAAAACCCTTTTCTCAAGTATTATATTTAATGTCTACCTGATTTTTAAACATGCAAAGCATTACCAAAGGTACATATAAGGAGTACTCTTTCTAATGCTTTAATTTTAAATGCCAAATCTGAATAACTCAAGTTTTTGCTGACACTGTAAGTCAAAAAAGCTACTCAGTCCTTAGTAGTAAACATCTAGCTACTTATTTTCACTTTTACATAGGATGTAATAAATAACAGCAAAATAAATGATTAAAAAATATGAGGTAGTCATAGATCTTCCTTTTTCGGAAATGAAAATAAAAGCAAAGAAGCCAGTAACTTGATGATCTTGTACAACACAGAAATGAATTAAAAATCAGTGTCAGCATTCTGAAGCTGTTTCAGAACTGTGGAAGACACAAACCCCCCCTCCTGTTTCGGTGTACCACGGGAGGAGGAGGAGCCTGCTCCCCACTGCAGAAACAAGCACACTGAAAGCTGACTCATAATATAAACAATCTGTAGGTTTCTCTTAAATTACTACCTAAAAATCTTTGTAAATGCATGGAACAGGATAAAATTTAAAGACAAATCTCCTTCAAATCTCAACTTATATGAAAGGTATGGTTCCTAAAAATAACAAAGTTGGCTATCGTATCTATGAAAAATTAAGAGTAACTTGTCTTTTTAAAGGCTACAAACTATTATGAAACAATTAATAGTTTGGTTTAGGACTGGCCTTCAGTCTATTCTTTCCACCCTAAACCAGCTTTCTTCAGAAATGGTGGTTTGCAAAACCCCATATGCAACGATCTAATTACTCCCTCCCTGGAGAGTCTGTACAGATAGGACCTGTTGAAAAAGAAATTCCAATTACATCACTGCACCAAATTGGGAAATTAAGAAACTCCATTTTAAAAATGGAAGTACCACCTTAGCAAATCTGAAAGTGTCAGCTCTCCATCACCTACTGTAACTGACTCATTTTAACTGGCCTTCTAAACACCTAGCTAAGAAGACAAAAGAATTAACATTCTTACTTGGAGCTTTGGAGAGGGAAGCTAGAAAGGCAATTTGGAACTATGTCCCTGAGTGAAGACTCTGGACATCAAGAGGACAGCAAAAGGACTCACAGTGCTTCAGTAAGATAGGAGAAGGAAGGGGGATCCAGGACTAGATGCTGGAATTCAGCTACAGTTTTAAACACTGTACTTCTGATTTACTACTACTGACCGACAGCTGAGCCAAAGCAAGTATTTATAGTGAAAATCAGGCATGCAGCTAAATGTTGTAATTGTGAAGCAGGACACCATTTAAAACCTGAAACAGTCTATACACCATGTTATAGAAAACTACAACAGTGGGACTCATGCAACCCGTGGGTCCAGATGTACATGTTACTGTTTAATATTTTTATAAGCATAAATTGGTATGAAATGTCAAAATTTTATACAGTTGGCCTAATATAAAGAAGCAACCAGAAGATCTGTACAGTTAACGCTGGAAGCACAACCATAGAGAAAGTTGTGGTTTTTCTTGATTTAAAATTATTCAATTACAAAACTAGTTTTTATAGGAAAAAAACGAAATCATTGTTTACTATTATTCCAGGTTTGAATACTTCTTGATTTTAGGTCTAAATTACATGTTTATTTTAAATGAACAAAACTGAGTCATTGAAGAGTCTTAATAAAGCATCTAATGACCACTTTATATAGGTAAGGTGACCTTCTTGTGAGTGCTAGGCAATATCCACCTTGGAAGCTAAGTGTGTCATAAATTAATATAGAATAGAGTTTTTAAAGTACATTATTTGATTTTTTAAAATGTTTCCAAGCCCTGACTGGCGTAGCTCAGTGGATTGAGCGCAGGCTGTGAACCAAAGCATCGCAGGTTCCATTCCCAGTCAGGGCACATGCCTGGGTTGCAGGCCATGGCCCCCAGCAACCACACATTGATGTTTCCCTCTCTCTCTTTCTCCCTTCCTTCCCTCTCTAAAAATAAATAAATAATAAAATAAAATAAAATAAAATATTTCCAAACAGGAACGATAGACTGATTGTAAAATGGCAATAATGTATAAACAAAGATCCTAAATTATTCATTTAGCCTATATAAAATCTATATATTAGATTTGCAGCCAATAATACCTTTCCTTGGTCAGTTTTAAAGTACCTATGGTTCATGTTTCACAAACTTGAGAACGATCATTGTTTTAAATATTTCTAATTTCCAGTAACATGGGCACTTAGATTCATGACTCAAGAAAGGCTAAGCCAGAGGAGTTATACTGGGAGCAACTAGCAAAAACCCAAGCACAGAAGTGTGACTGCTCACTGCACAACTGGCTGCAACGTCGCATGTGAAACAAAGCACTGACGGTCCCTTTCTGTGCGTACATTAGAGATAGAAGAGTGCACATTTCTAGGGAATCTTTAAACAACCAACACACCTCTCAATAGAATTAGAAAAGCTTTTTAAAATCCTACACTTAATACTGTCAACTATGAAATTATCTTACCATAAAATTATTAAGGAAATTATTAAAAATTATAATTTACAGGAAACTAACAGGAGAAAAATTATGTCTAAAAAGGAACGGTTCTTCCTATAAAGCTAATCAATATGATGCTCTACAAATCTGTAAAGTTCTAGATACGGAACACTGTAGCATAGTCCGCACGGTCACCCCGTCTGCTCTTTCTGAACACTGACGCAGACACAGCGCTCTCCACACAGCTTTCCGTGCTGGAACCAGGGGAGCACTGGATTTCCGAGCAGCGTTACCTTCTACTCGCACTACTTCAGGGAGGCTGGCCACAGCCTAGCAGTGTCTGGATTCTTTGTACTTGGAGCTCTTCAGAGGAAGAGTGTTTTACAAACTCAAGCTGTTAAGTGTTTTAGGGGACAATGGAAACAAATAACTCATAAAAAATCCTGGTTTTTAAGATAGTTCCTAATGTCTGGTATAGGATCTAGGATATAAAATACTGGCATTCAACTATTCAAATTTATATAGAATTACAATACTTTGGTGGAGAAGTACAAAAACACTTTTTAAAAAATACAGGTATATAAACTAATGAAACTGGTATTTAAAAGATTTAATACAAGGGAAAAGGTATTGTATATAGTGGTACCAATTCTTAATACAAATTATTAAGCATAGTTTATATAATTTCAAAAGTTATTCACATTATTGCTTGATACCACAGCTGTACGGAACAAGTTCTTGACACATTAAAATTTGTATAATTTCAGGTTTATAAAAACAAAAATTTACACATAAGCCATTCAGGAAGATTTAAAATGCATGGACAAATGTACAACCAAAAGGAGAAAGAAAATAAGTATGTCTGTATGTATTTAAAAGAAACAAGCTGATCTGGTTCAACTCTAAATGTCACACTTGCGATCAAAACAGGACACATAACTGGACCGAAAGCGAACCCACAGACAGAAACAGTACTGAGCATGTCTGCCATTTCTAATAATCTGTTCTAAATATAAACAGGGTATTAAATACCAGATTGCTTTTAATTCTAGAATTTCTGCCTTCTTTCAAAAGCTTTTTAGAGAAGTTTTCTACGACTGTGTTAGATTGGGACAACTATTTTTCTTAGAAATTTTTTAAAGGAGTATTTCCATACTTTTGTATATAAGATTTGACAAACAATAAAAAATAACCCAAATAAGGCCATTATTATCATCTTGATAAAAAATATACAGATTGTAATGCTACTATATTTTATGATCCTGAGCTCTAGTAAACATTAGATGCATGCATACCATTCACTGATTTGTCTATTCTAATAAAAATAATTTAATCCTGCCTTGCTACTTTTGAAGACAGAAATCCTTTCAAAACTTTTTTACAGGTCTTTGTACTGTTACAGATATTTCTGCTGTAAACAAAGCATTAGAAATTGTATGTGAAACGATGTTAAATTCCAAAAAACTATTAAAGAATACTTACTAATTTAAAATAACTATGTTAAATTTAAAAAGGAAGTAAAATAATACAAAGAGTGTGCTTTCTAGAATTGATAGAGTCTTACAAAGGTGTTTTTCTACATTAAGGAATTAATAAATAAAGAACTGTGTGTACCTTGATGATAAATAAAAGGCTGGCCACTTTTTATGCTAAGTTCAAATGTATTTTGTTTGATAATACAAAAAAGTAATCCTTGAAAATCAGAATACATAACAGAAAAGAGCACAATAACTTAAGTATTAAACATCTGTATGAAATAACTGTTGCAAAGTTTGACAAAAATGCACACTTAGAACATGCGGTTATTTAAAAAAAAAAAAAACAGAAAAAAACACCACACGATTCTGTAGAACCAATGTTATGTCACCACCAGAAGAGCACCAAGCAAGGCACCATTGGAAAGACAACATACTTGGAAAGTCTCTATAAATAAAGTAAATGCTAATCTGGTCGAAAAATCGGTGTCTTTGGTAAAAATTCTATCAGGATGACCTGTAGAAAGAGAGAAAAAAGTTTTAAAAAGACTTACATTTTTTATCTTAACAAAACGTCAGTTATATTCCATCACTTGAAACAACTTTGACAATGCCTCTGACACACAGGGGAATACAAGCATGAATACGTGAGAACACAGAACTAGTATTTATTAAGAAACAACTACAAGTATTTCATACTCTATGTCTATTTAATCCCAAAAACCTTTCTATGAGGCAAGTGTTACCATCCTCACTTTACAGGTGAGGAAACTGATGATCTGAGAAGGGTAATACCATGGACTGTGGAGTCACTGTTGGAACAAAGGTCTGTCTTAACTGCAAAGCCTTGCGTTTTCTGCTGTACTACGTGGCTGCAGCCAACCCGATGTTTGTTTCTTCAGGTTGCCGCCCATTTATCTAACCAATTCAATGGTCTTTAGGTGCTAGAATTGCTCTCATTTTACTGTACCAGGATATGTAATCTCTCGATAAAAGGTATTGATCCTTTATCGCTTAATTTTTTTAAAGTCTTTTTCTTCTTAAGTTAGCAAAATTAAAGCTTAAAATTTGTTCCAAAGGACATTTTACCAAAAAAGTAAAAGAACACCAACAAAGACAAAACACAGTAACACAGAAAGACACAAGTTGGCCAGAGCTCATTTTTATTCCAAACTTGAACTGTGTTAAATTCCAGTCAATTCTTCCCTTGTTCCAAGTTTGTATAGAATAGGTGCCAAACAAAAAAAATTATCTGATTTGAACATTTCCAAGTTTGTGGAACTCATCTTTTTTTTTTCAGAAACTATATCTAAAACTTGATTAAATGTTTAAACAATTTATAAGTCAACATTCAATATATACTTCTGTATTTCAAACATGTCCTCAATGAAGCGGTCTACACAGTTTCAGGTCTTCAGTGCGGGCATGACCGGTACACGGTACAGTGCACACTGCATAATGAAAAGTAAAGGCTATCTTTGGCCATATTTGCATTATAAAGAATATATCCTATGAACTCTATTCCTTCAGAAGAAATGCACAGAAATTGGCCACTTGTCTCATTCCTTCTAAATCATACTGCTCTACCATATCTGAATAAAAGAAAAGCTGATGTCAAGTTGGTATTTTTCTAGATCGTCTCCAATATTCAAAATATAATCAAAGGGAATTACTTTAACTAACAAATAAAATATCTGTAAGTTAAAGAAAAGTTCAGGTTGAAGACAAACACATGGTAAAAATGCCCTAATTCATTAGATAAGGAAGCTATACATACTGAGAAAATTTTTTTAAAATATATTTTTTATCAATTAAAAAAATTGTGTACTATTCTTCTGAACATCTTCTATGATGGTATAAAAATATAATGGCTTTAGTAGTAGAGTTTATTTATCTAAAAATTTGTAATAAATGAAAGGAAACTATTTTACAAACAAAACACAGAGCTCATGATGTTTTGAAGTTAGTAAATTATTTTATTTTTAGTTAAAAAAATATTTCACCTATATACAATGAGTATATGGTACGAATGAATGACATTCATATAACACTATCTCAAAATAATAACACTGGGAATAACTTTTATGTTTTCCTTTCAAATGTAAATTTAGAAATGTCCAAAAATAAATAAATACTGAGTTTTAAGCTTAGTGTTTTGGTTTATAAATAAAGCAATTATTTTTTTCACAAAATGTGTTGAATCTCCTACATATCCATTCCTCTTGCCAAAATACATAAACTTTCTAACCATCTATGATGAAAATTAAGACTAGAGTTTTCATAGGTCACTTTCAAAACAATCATTTGTGCTTTTTTATTAGCAATATAAAGTATCAAGTGTCTTTTTCATCATCCAAAAGTACCATGTTTGATATATGAGATAATGATACACTATACATGATTTGGTTCACTGAATACAGACCTAATCTATGAAAAAAAAAAAAAAAAAAAAGACAGTTTTAAGACATCTTTTATGTTCAAGGCTAGCAATGGGATTTGACTGTATGATAATGAAAAAAGAGAAAATACTACAAAGCAACATGATTTTATTACAATTTCCAACTATTTAAGCACTGTTTAAATCAATCTTGTATACATATACACCCACACAATCTATGATGGTTAAATTGTTCCAGAGAGCGGAATTTGTCAGAAATGATGTGCCAGGTACTTCACAAAGGCTATGACTTTAATTTTAATTCATTCTTCCTTAGATTTTTTTACTTAATATAATAGCCTTTCCATATTTAAAATAAAACACCCAAGCTCAAGACAAAATAAATTAAAATTCATAATTTTCTATAGTATTTTGAATTTTCAGGAGAAAAATTGTTCAAATAAATTAAGGACTCAGTAAATTAAATACCATACTGAGTAAGTTCTAAAATTCACTGTCTATAGTGACAACTTAGATATCTTTTAAGGAATAAACACAGAATAGGCAAAAACCTCATCTCCTACTTACCTTAAAGATAATTTTTATAAAACAATATTCTAATAACACTTTAAAAGATTCTTTAAAGGCCACTGAGGTATGGGTAGTTAAAATTTATAAAGGCTAAAGGTTTCTTAAGCTCCAATGACTTGGCTGAAAGGTTTTCTTCCACACTTGGAAACTTGATTAGCATTATATAAAAAAGCCATATCTGACTTGCTGCGTAACCAAAGTTGTGGTTATTCTTTATACAGCATCTAAAATTTCACACTCCATCAACACATGTTCAGGCTATTTTATCTTGGCAATTAATTTATTATTTTTCAGAACACAGTGAAGCCTTGTTTTCAAGTCATTCATAACTTTATAAATCAGTCTTGCACATGAAACCATGCATCTGTGAACCGTAGAAAATCTTTGCACTCAGGAGATTAAGCTCCTGACACCTTTGCTGATTAATAATCATGGAAAGAATAAGATCAGAAGCAAAATAAATGATCATTTAATAGAGAAACTCACAAAACAGCCCTTTAACTTACATATTCCATCATGTTATTCGTTTCACATTTCCTTTTGCTCAGTCTCCAGTGCAAGCACAGCTAGACAAGAAGGAGAGTAAAAGAAGAAAAATGAGTTCTATTTTATTGCAGCACACAGACTAACCCATTTGTCCACCTTTCATATTTTTAGTTCAACAAAAGCATCTGTTTCCATACTGTGCAATTCAGACCCCAACAGTACGAAGCTGCTCCCTGTGGTACTCACCTTGTGGTATAACCTATTGTTTTCCCATTCTAATAACTTCTCAATCGATCTTCGTGTCTGGAAGACAAATGAGAAAAAAGTTTACTCTTGACTGGTTTAGAAAAACTCTGTTTTGCAGCTGCTTTTTGTGTGAAAAGGAGAGAGGTATGAGACACTGATTGAATATAAGGTGGCCTAGAACACTGTCAACAGTCCAGCACTAAATAGTCCCCTGAATACAAATAGTACTCTCATTTAATAAAGTATGGTTTGGGGTTTATTTTTAGCACTCTATCCTTTTTTCACTGTTTCAAACTTACTGGCCTCTGAGTTAAAACTATCAAAGTCTAAAAGCTAATGGTCCCTACCAAATAATATAAATTTAAATCCCCATTCATTTAAAAAATCTTTGCAATACTTAAACAATATGTAAGTATTAAAACAGGGCAAAACTGTATTTAAACCAACAAAAATAATAGTAAAATCAAACTCTTAATTCAACACTGTTAAAGGAATCAACTGAGAAATTTATGTTTAAGAACACTTGATTTTTGCAATATATACTACGCAGCAAGCATGAAATGTTTTTGCTTGGGACTATGAATAAAAGAGAAGATAATTCATGATGCCAGGTGTTAGGATGATACTGACACAGCTGCAGGTGCAGAAAAGACAGTGTTGCCACAAGAATCAAATGCAACTTGGTGCAGCTGCAACTTCCTCACAAGGGAAGGAAAAAGGCATCCAGCACTACTAATGTGGCACAACCGAGTACCAACAAGCAAAAGTGAAAAACTGCATATGGAGCAAGGATGAGCTAGGTGAGAAACCGTTAGGATCAAGCTGCTTTTAAATAGTTCAATGTTACATAATAAAATCGCATCTACCATTATCTAGTTACCGTGTTACCTTTCAGCATGCTGAACATGCTAAGGACACACCACAGCCGCATGGGTGCCAAGTATAATTCATAACTACCAGTGAATTAATTACCACCACTGCCTTACATTTCCCAAGCTTATGTCATAAAAATCAGAAAACCAACTAACTCTCTGGATAATAATATGCCAATGACTGATTTAGTACATTATATTTTTTAACAGGTTTTTGGGCAAGAATTTTAAAGGAAAAAAATGTGCCCTTGTTAACAATGATCAGCAGACCTCACTTGTTTCTTTGTAAAGATAGCCTTTTAGAGGCAGCTCTCCTTTTAAATGAAAATAGGGCAGCAGTTATGGTCACACTTTTTGTTAATTTAGTTGCCAGTCAGCTCCAAATCAAAAGAAAATAAGGCTGCAGAGTATAATTAACATTCAGTTCAGTCGTTTTGTCCCTTGTCTAGCCCCCAAGCTTTGTTAAAATTGCCATCTGAATGCTGAAGGCTGTAGGGAAATCGATTTGATTCTAATCGCACCATGAAAAGAACATGATCTAACTGCTTTCAGCCCTCCGTAAATCTGTACCAGGTCTTTAGCACAATGCAACTTCCAATTTAAAAAGCACTGAATGTCTCGTCAATGACTTTGTGAAGAAAAAAGAACAAGGAGCAGACATAAAAATTCCAATAGTTGTTTAAGCATTAAAGTTCATTTGCATCACAGCGAACCTGAAAAGGGCTGACCTCTCAAACCGCCTCTCAGGTCTATGAAGTTGTAGCCTTGACAAGCTCACATTGACAGAGCTCATTGACTCTGAAAGGCTACTCTATCAATGGTGAAAAATGGCAATAGGTTCTACTCTGAGCAGGCATCTGCCTGCCCACCCGCTGCTAAACCAATGGCAAAACCGATTCAAAACCTGAATCTACCTTGTAATCTTCCTTTCTAGGACCTTTTAATAATAGATTAAGATTACTATACAATTTGAGGTTTTACTTGTATTGATGGTTTAAGAGTTGAGGGGGTTGGGGGTAAAGAACTAGGGTAGAAAGAACAAGCTTTCCAAGTCTTGTTTTATATTAAAGTATAAAAATAAAAAGGTTAACATTACATTCTACAAAACTTCATTACTCAAAGAAAAAAGTGTATTTACCACTATCATCATTTCATACAAATTTAAACCCATGCTATATTATAATGAGAATGAATCTCATTACAAATGGATCTCATGGTGTACATGATACCATGTACACACACAAAATTTAAAAACTTAAAAATATTTACTTTAAGTAACTTAAATCAACTACCAGTATTTGAATAAAAGGTCATTATAAAGTATGAACCTTAAATTCCAAAATATTTATGTAGGAACTCTGAATTTACTCTGTGCCTCTAATTAGCAGTTTAATGATAGGGTTTGGTATAATAATTGTGTCTTAGAATATTTAAGAATTCAAAACCAAACAAACTCTGGCATGCCATATTCTGAATAAGTATCTAAATATAAAATATTTCTACCCACTGACAGTCTGAAGTAAAAGCTGTGAATTAGAACCATCTAATCTTGCTATAAAACCTCTTTCCTGCTTGACAGGTGAAAAAAAACACTTGCACGTGCAGCTTAATTAATCATTACACTTGACATTTCAATGATTTACAGTGAGGAGCAGGTGAGAACATACAAAACCAGAAAGAAATCCTTGATCTGAGTGGAACATTTCTATCACACTAAGGTGACAAGTATATAGATTCTATCAGTCATTAAGAGAGAGGCAGAGAGAAAAAGAAAAAAAAGGAAGAAAGAGAGAAAGAGAAACTGCCACAAATTATTTGTTAGTAACAACAAAAGCTCAAATTAAATGGAAGAAAACTTTTAACTACTAAGAATGTTTAATATTCTGCAATTACTTTTAGTTCACAAAAATCAAAATATACTTTCAAGATTAAATACAATACCAATTTGGCAGATACTGAAAAAGATATGACACCAGCATATTTAAAAGATACTTAAAAGCCTGTAGACATGGGAAAAAAGCACCTTATAAGTGCAGTATTCTAGAAATAAAAGTGATGAGTTTATGTCCACAGGGCTGTCAGATACTGTTTCTAATAAAATGTACGAATCAACACTGCCAAACTCTGTAATTACTACTGGGTAAGCAAACCTAAGCATATAAAAACCTGCCCTTGATTTTTAAAAGTTTACACTGACCACTAAATTCAGCATAAATTAAAGCAAACTAATATTAATCAGAAAAAAGTATGTACTGCGTCTGTCAACATGACATACCAAAGCAATCATCTCCAGGCCAGTGGGTTTCTAAAAATAAGCAATCTTAATTTTTTAAAAAGAATTTGGTTCTTGTGAAAAGCACCAGATTCACAGTCATGGGAACTACAAATCTTCTATTTAACTGAAAGAACAGAGGAAAGGGCAGTGTGAGCTTCCCTGCAGTGGGCCTTAATCCTTCCAGTGCTCACACCCTAGGGGTGAGGGGACAGGTTACTGGTTCTTAACCAATTCTTACTCCTTCTGCATATGACGATCAATAAGAAATCTAATTTTATCATGACTTATTATCCTTAATTAGAAGGACAAAGACCACCAACTCACACCATGTAAGCAAAACAAGATTTTTATGAGAATGACATCATACCACTAACCTGGTCTGGAAGAGTATGGCCCCCACCCACCTCACTTATCGAAGAGCTCACTTTAATTGTTTTTCACATATTTCTTCATTTCAACACCGTGCTAATTATAGTTGTCTCCCTGGTGAACTAGCTCTAATATAGCTATTAACAAATGTTAAAGTAAACAATTAATTGAGATTCAAAACATCATTTCAATTACTAAGTAGATTAAACTTGAAGAACAAGTAGTAGCAACAGAAGGATAGTGATTTGGGCTTCAATTTCTATTGGCTCTGGTTCTTACTAAATTTTGGGTAGAATTGTGAAAAATAAGTCAAAACATGAAAACTGCAAGAGAAGTAAATGGCCTGGATAATTCAAAGCAGCTAAATAAATAATGATTAATCAACAATTAATATTAGGTATAGCATACCCCATAAAATATATGAATCACTTAGAAATAGTAAGTAATAACTGAAAATGAGTTTCCTAAAAGTACAAATTTGACTTATTATGAAGAAGCATTTTTGTAATTTTTCCTAAATCTCATAACTTTCTAAGAAATATCTATTATTCCCTATAAACAAATTATGCACAATTAGATATAAATAAGTCTTGTAGGGAATGAGGAATCTTTTTAAAAATCTTGAAATGTATTACTCCCCTTCTTTATTACCACTGGTACTTATAGTATACTCATTACCAATAATTCATTTATTTACAGTCAATTGTTTGAAGAAGTAGTTTTTTCAAAGATGTGGTATTCTAAATCTGAAAATAAAATCCATGAGAATTTCATGGACCTTAAAGTACATAAAGCCAAAGGGAAAAAAATGTGGATGCTGTAACAAAATTTCTCTGAAATTTCCCCCTCAAATAGCATTCTCATCAGTTTTTAGAACATAAAGATGCTAAGATATGTTAACAATACATAAATAAATAACTCAATAAACTACAAAAGTTAAGCTATTTAAACTTAAAATTTATTTGAATAGATTTTATTCATAACATCACAGAATGTCAAAGTGCAATTTCAAATGTTTAATTTCTTATTTAAAACAGGTTTTAAGTTTAAACTCCCAAAGTATAATGCATTAAACTTTAACCAGAATAATGCTTTGAATGTATTTGTAATCTTTTAAGTATTTTTCAAATAGGAACTACACTTATTTTTGGATATCTGTACAAATTCAAGTTACTAACATAAGTGAAACAACAATGTTCTTTGTTATAAGTCATAGAAGGAAACCATATAAAATTTTTAATGAATTATTTTAACTTAAGAGAAAATTACTTGATGCACTGTTTATTCTGGATTAGTATGTCTTACATTTGAGTGATATGCAGAAAATTAAATGGTATATCTCAGTCTTAGTATTATGATATTAAAAAAATATGTACTCAAAAAAGATAAATCAGAATATAATCAGATTACTCAAAAGGATTTCTCAACAAATTTCCTTGTATTTAAAGGCTCCTTTTAGCAGCCAAAATACACAATGGAGAAAAGAACACCTCTTCAATAAATGGTGTTGGGAACATTGGAAAGCCACATGCAAAAGAAGA